GGCAAAGGGGCAAGAAGCTACTTTTGCGAGTGTTGTGACCAGGAGCGCGCATTAAGAAATGTCTTCCCTGGATTCCGGTGTGATTCTGGTGCGCACTAGTGTGGTTTCGGTGTGCTATCAGATAATTTTACCACACTGCAGAGCGCGGCGCCCACGGCAGCACGTGAGAAGGAGAGCGTCTGATCATGATGCCGCTCATGATATGTGGCGGTACAGCAATCTGATGTATACTACGAACAGCATATACAAGGCATTGATATAACTGGCAGCGAAGGCTCCATAGAAGCCCTTACGTTCAGAATATGCCGGCTGATTAACTGCTCATGCGGCTTAACGCCATCCCTGTGAAGAGAGAACACTTCCGTTCTGGCGGAACAAAAAATAAAGCGGATGTGACGCGATAGTTGGTGAACAGATGATGTCATTTTGTGCGCGCTAGCGCGAAAGTTAATCTCAAATTACTTTTCGTAGGCCCTGGTCGCTGAGGACTTGCACTAAGGAGGTCTCCGGTGAGTTCTCCGTGAGCGTGCTTCAAGTCAACGCCAGCTAATCTAATACCAACTGATGACTAGATAATGGTGTCTTAAGTGTATACTACTGTTCACTATGACTCAGTTCAGATCAGTTTATTACCTTAAAGGCCACCCTTTCTAGGAGGGGCATTACATAAGGGGTGGGGTTTTATTTAGGTTAACAATAAGCAGTAAGAGTTGTTTTAGCATTGAAGATGATCAATAATACGGTCTTGAAAGGCAGATGAGGCGATGTCCCGGGGGAGGTCGTTCCAGTCCGTGGCTGCTCGAAAAAAGAACGAGGCAGAAAAAGCAGTGGTGCGCGAAGATGGGCGGGAAACCTGAAATGAATGACTGGTTCGATGAGATATGCGTGCTGCGGCTACTATATAAGGAGGCCGATTGAGGGAAGAATGAAATAATTTGTGATAAAGCACGAGAGTTGCAGTGCGGCGCCGCAAAGAAAGGAGTGGCAGAAAGGAGTGACTCGGTTTCACGAACAAACTTGTTCTCTGAACTTTTTTTCGGCGTTCGTCGCATCTTTTGCAGATGGATTAATGCAACCAACAGCGTATATACCTGCCACATCTGCAGCGTTGCTTATTTGCATCACCCATCCACAGTGCTTGTGTTCTTCAGATTTTACAGGAAGAAATGACGCCTAGTCATGCGAAAATTACGACCTTTCACTTTTATTCAATGCCCACAGTAACTCAAATTGTCCCGCCACGGTAGTCTAGTGGCTAGGTACTCAGCTGCTGACCCGGAAGTCGCGGGATCGAATCCCGGCTGCGGCGGCTGCATTTTAGATGGCGGCGAAAATTATGTAGGCTGGTGTGCTTAGATTTAGGTGCACGTTCAGAACGCTAAGTCGTAGTGATTTCCGGAGCTATCCATTACGGCGTCTCTCAATCATATGGTGGTTTTGGGACGTTAATTCCCACATATCAATCAATCAACAATAACTCAAATTTATTACGCTGCACACGACGGAAATGAGCAGAAACAAGTCTGCAGATGATGTTTTTTACATTATGCTTTGATAATACGGTTACGTGTGCGAATACAGAGATGCTAATCGTAGCGTGATAGATAACTTGGCGATCTGCTCACCGATAACGGGAATAATAGCACGCATTGCATGCTCAAAAAGGAAACTGGGCTGCAGGAATACTGACTGATGAAGCTCCAGCGAGCACAGCAATACCAATCATTGCCCTTGTTTTTTGACGGAAAGACGCGGGTTATCAGGCATACGCTTGTTGCATCTGCGTCCTTGCACAGCACATCGTTTCCGCAGGTTCCGACGAAAGCACTCAGCTTCAAATGTAATCTACACCGTTCCGCGGCCGGTTGGATACTTCACTCAAGACCACGGTGCAAGAATACTTTAGGTGAGCGAACTCCGGGACTATCCGCTGTCTGATAATGTTCTGCTTCCAAGGACTCGAGAGATGGCGCTACATACTTTGCCCCCCCCCCCCCCCCACCTTTCGGTGTAGGAAAGCCCCGTTACAGTGTACACTTCTAGCACTCTCTAGCCCTGTATCGTAAAAAAGTAGCGGCGCTTATTTATCGTCGCCGCAACACCCTCGCTGCGCAGTCAACCCTCCTCCCTTATCACCCCATCTTTCGCGGCGCCGCTCTATGCGTGTCACGTGGTTGATATCGCGCGATAACCCGGTTTTCTCACATTTGGAAACCGTCGCCCACGTGCCGGATGCGCTTTGCACAGTTTTCGGAATTAGCCAGCAGCCCGCCATGGTCTTCCGTCCGGTGAGCCATCTATCGGCATGCAGCAAACGAAAACATAATCGGTCCCTCCCCGTGCAGCACTCGCTCTTAAAGCATTCTTGCACCGTGCTCAAAACGTGCACAGTGACGAAACGCACCTCGCAATTTTGCGCTCAGCAGAGAATGTAAGCAAGTGCGGAACACTGAAGAAACACGTGAGGGGGTGCGCAATCAGGCCCCGTAAACTCAGGGCTAGCTTCGGTTTCAAAGAGCATGCACGCTCGTAGCGGTTGCCGGGCATTCAAGCATTCGGTTGAACGGAGTGAGGTTGATGTAAATGTTCGCATTTATAGGCTTTTACAAGTTTCTACAAATAGAAAATATGATACCCCTGTAAAGAACTTCTCATGTGTTTATGTGCTTTTTCTTATTCCTTATTTTGTGAATTTCAAATCAGGCGAAGCGCGGAAAGTGATTGACTGCGTTCGTAGCGCTTGTCTCCGCTCCTTCTCGTCCCTCGATCAGCTATATTAGAAGTTGGACCGCGCTCAGTTATATCGCTCGGTTGGCGTGTCAACTACGGGAAAGATAAAGACAGCAAGTTGTGGCAGGCAGAGAACGGAAGCCGCAGTGAGCAATACCGAACAAGTCAACGACGCATTCGTGGAAGATAACTTCATCTGGCAACACATGTTTTCCGCGGCTCTGCGGTGTGCTAAACCGAGAATTTCTTGTTCTCCGATGGTTTTTCAGAGTTTCCCAAAAGCAACGGGTGAGCAGAAGAATTCGAACTCAGTATTTGAGCTGGTATTCTTCTTTAAGCATAAGTACATATGAGTAAACCCAGTTCTCTGCAAACCTGACTCGACTGACAGGAGTGCAGTGTCACTTGATTATTTGGTGAAGATGGCAGACACGCTCCTGTCCGGAAAATGCGTTTGTTGAAAGGCTTGAACTCAAGTTGGCTCGGCTAGATAGTCTTAGTTTGTTTTATTTTTTGGCGTGTAGTTCAAATGATGTCAAGTATTTATAGACTACTTCCTACTCCTAAAATTCCTGTAACAGTGGTATCAAAATTTGTGAGTTTTTATTTCTAATAGTGTCACTCAAATACACGTGATGCACTAAATGCTTCTAAAATTGTTACAGAGAATGTCGACAGATCCAATGGTATGTCGATCCAATGAATTAAGTAAACTTTTCCTCGTCAAGGCAACGCTGTTGCCCTGATGAAGACAAGTCAACTTGCCGAAACACTGATTGATTGATATATGGGGTTTAACGTCCCAAAACCACCATATGATTATGAGAGACGCCGTAGTGGAGGGCTCCGGAAATTTCGACCACCTGGGGTTCTTTAACGTGCGCCCAAATCTGAGCACACGGGCCTACAACATTTGCGCCTCCATCGGAAATGCAGCCGCCGCAGCCGGGATTTGATCCCGCGACCTGCAGGTCAGCAGCTGAGTACAACTTGCCGAAACACTGTTTCCAGTGACGTTCCTTCTCGAAAACTTCTGATCAATTCAAACCGCTCTGTGCCTCTAAACTTCAGTCTTGTTTGGTGCTCAATATCTGTAAGAAAGCTATGCGCGCCGTCATAACAAACGTGATTGAGTCAAATACGATGTGTACTTCTCGCGATTGTTTTATAATTTTCGCATTGGTTCGGATACTGTGGGTTTAACGTTTGCTCATTGTGTCCGTGTATATGTCAGTTGTAAGTTAAAGCTGATTTTATAGATTCACACTACGTGTATGTCTATTTTTAATACAAAACCTGCAATAAAAAAGTTCATTTTATTTGTGCCGATTGAGTCTCGTCTTACTGAAAAATCAGTCAGCTTAAGTTTTGCCTCTTGAGAAAACACGAACAAAATTAAAAAAAAGATTAACAATATTTCACGAATGGCAGCATGACCGAAGCGGGCAGCGGACTTGAAAAAGAAGGCATGAGCGCATTCCGCTTGCATGCGATGTGGGAAAGGAGGGCTTCCGTGTAACCGTCCGCCTCGAGATTTTTGTTCTTGCCCTCTATTTCAGGACGTCATCAGTGACGTCAGGAAATGAATTTTCTGTTCGTGATTTATTTCTAGTGTGATGCCCGGCAACCGCCAGTGGTAAAAGCGGCGCTGCCGAGTGCGAATACATGGGAGGTATCAGAGTTACTGTATGTGTTCCTTCCGTAGCATATATACAGTAACTCTTAAGGTTTATATGGAGTCTCCGCCTCCTGGTGGCAATTCTGCTCGGATCTACACGCTCCGTTCACGATCCAGCCGAACGCTGCTTCGAGTTTATTATCATGACCAATGAGTGCAGAAATACACCATGTAATCGGCTGAGAACGTCGGCGCAATTTAACGGGTATGCTTCACACTGCTGTCCGCTATGTTTCGCAGAAAGGTCTCGTACAAATAAACTCTCGTACAAAAAACGTACAAAAAACGTACAAAAAAGGTCTCGTTTACAAATAAACTAAAGTAGATGCAGGCTATTGACTTCAAGTGTCGCAAAGTGTGTAACATTTAGAGCATTTTTCGTTGCTTTCTTTCATTTATTTCATTAATATGAGTGATACGGTGCATAAACAGGGACGATGTATACATTGCGAGCTGCATATATGATCACCGTTTCATGTACAAGTATGGAAATACACCAAGCAATGTTGTCTCACCTCGAAAACAAGGAAGACGCAACTAGAAAATATTACGTGCCTAACAAAAAGTGAGCACCAGTACGGCTGATATTGAATTACAAAGAAGCCATTTTATTCTTTGATGATCTCCATAAATGCTTGCAGGGTGGTCAAGTGGAATTCTTATTACATCCTGTGTTTTGTTGCAACATATGATAATCGGTGTACCATTTGACACGTTCTTGCTCATATGTTTGAGTAGCCTGTGTAAAACTAGCCTGCAAGAAAGAAATACCAATCAGAGCAGTTTTTGAACAGTACATTTTGCTCGCACTTGGGCGTTGAGAAAGCATTCACGTTTGCCAATATCGCGTGCTAGTCCGTGTGTAGCGCACACTCCAGGGTCATTGGCGGACAAGTCAGTGCTGGCATTCCCAAGGCCATAGCAGGCATTACGATTAAGTAAATTGTGAAATAGCGCCGCGGAATAAGGGAAGACTGAAGGCGAATGACCACATTCCTGCTTTTTTTTTTAAACTTTAGCGGTGATTGGCGGGAGGGGGTTTCAGCTGCCGTAGCGAACGAATGCACGAGCTAAATAAATCGCTGAAGTCCTGCGACTTTTATTGCAAAACACAACATGGAGATATACTCTTGTCACAGCTTATATGTATACATGCACGTTTCAGATATGTTCTCGAAACGTGTCCTCGTTGCCACCTTTCAACTCAAAGCTGAGCTATTGCCACTATGTTTCTTGCGTGAACGATGACACGACAGTTATAGCAGCGTAAAAGTACTTGATCTACGCAGTACTTCATCTAGTCATCGTCCTTTTTCTCACTATGCTCATTCGTCATGAATGGGAGACAACGTGCATAACCGGCTGTTCACGCCGCTTCTTTCAAGCGTATGTTGGCAAGCGTTGTCATCCCGAAGCGTGCAGAAGTGCACAGAACCGGGCTCTCAGGACAGCTGCTGTTACGTAGCTCTTGAAACCCCAAGTGGGAACATCAGTGAGGCCTCGGATTAGCACGGGATAACGTGCGCAATGGGCACGACAAATCTGTCCCGCCTCCTTTGATTCTTTTCACAGAAGGGACGACTGCTGAATGTTGGCGGGAGATGGCGACAGGCCTTTGCCGTCGGACGCTCTTCTTGACAGGAACTGCGAGATGCATGATAGTGTCATCAAGTCAGCTGCCTCGCATAAGATAAACAAAAGAAGCACCTTATAATAAATAATACAGGTGTCATATTGAAAACATTGTGGCAACACGAGGATGCAGAAAGACGGAACAGGTGAATCCCAACCAACGTGACCAAATGTCAACTAAAGTTCCACGAGAAAATTTTCCCCTCAAAAGTTCTCCTTTTAAGTCGGCGTTTTCGCATTTTCTATCGTTGCATAGACAGAAATCGCGAGGTGACATTGCGGCCACCTAAAGGTAGTGACTAATAGTCTACAGCTAAAGTGGTTGCTTGGGCATGTTCGTACGACATATTGAAGGGAAACAAAAAGACCAGGCAATCTTCGACTGTCATTTTCTTTCTTTTTTTGTTTTAAGTGCACACGTATATATTGCGTGGTTTGATGGCTAAACTTTTGTCGTAAGTCAGCGCTGTTCTCTGCTTGAACTTCTTTGGCTGGTATTTCGTCTTTCGCGGTGTTTTTCTCCAACGATAGTTTGGAGCTTTTGTTGAAGTGTATATCGTTTCGTGCATATGACGTCATAATTATACACGGATAAATGACGTGGGAACTACACCTGTATCACGAAAAAAAAAACGGCATCATACGTAACAGGAAAAAAAAAACTATTACAATTTCATCTTGTGAATGCGAACTATCAACGAAGCTTTATCTTGCCACACAGGGCAGCAATAAAAAGCGTAATATCAGTCACATTTAGTCCAGGTTTGAGATGTGTTGGCAAAAAAGAAAATACTGCAAAGCGTGCCGCTGATCAGTTAATTATGTCTATTATTTCAGTGCAGGGGTGTTTATGTTCCATTGCTTTTGATATCACCATTAGCTATACTTCAATCATTTAAGCAAGGCATTTTTAGCAGCTTACTGGAAACGATGTAAGAAAATGAAAACAGCTCTTCTAATTTGAAATAATATCCAGAATTTTACGTCATAAACCCACGATATGATTGCGAGAGAGGCCGTAGTACAAGGCTCCGGCAAGTTCGACCATTTGGTGCTTTTAACGAGCCCTGGCATAGCTCAAGACGACCCTCATACTTCGCCTCCGTCGCAATGTGAACTCTGCGACCGGAATTGAACCCACGACCTTCGGGTTAGTAGCCGAGCAGCGCTACACAGCACGGTTGACAAAACATGCTCTTCCGTTCACGTGCAACAGTAGAGCAAGTTGGCAGAAAGTTTTAACCACTGGAAACGGATGCCCTCATTGGATGAGGGTGTGTTGGTCTTATAACGTGGTCTTGTCTTGTCTTTACCACTCACAGAAGGTGTCTTTTTAAGTATTAGTGCATGTTTCAGATTTCGGCACTGAAAGGAACTCACAGTGATGGTAGAGTTAGCGAGGGACATACGGCGCCATTCCTTTGTAGCGCAAGGAGTTTGTGACAGCACTCTGCGAAGAACTGTAAGGACCTGTTGGGAAGGTAAGAGTAGTCAGCTCGTAAACAGTCGAGAAACGAATATGGAATCTCTTGTTTTACGTTTAACATTTATTAATAGTTTTTTCGTAGCATCTAAAGAAGGACAAAAAAAAAAAAAAACCGCAGGCCTGCGTGGAAGGAGCAGCACAGTCACAGCAAAAGCTAGAAGAGCGGTCTTTCAGAGCCTTTTCGAGCCTTTTCTTAACACTCGTTCAGTAACTGCTGCAAGCACACTTGCCTAATACCCACTACGGTATTAATATTAAAAACTTTGGGTAATAGGCCGGCATTCGCTATGCTATTTTTCATCCTTCTTCTGAGAAGCGTGGTATCTGATAAACAAGGAATTTTGTGCCAATTGTTCAAGCAGTGGCTGACGACGATGACGAATTATGCCTGAAGAGGGTATGTGCCACAGTTAATACCTGACCAAAAACAAGCTTTTGTAATGGGTTGGATCATTCGATGACCCACTCGTTACGCTATTCGCATTGTGCGACTACTGCTTGTTCTTTTGCTGTTTTAAAACATTTCATATGTGGTATTAACGCGATTGCTTTCACGACATCAAGCCTACCTAAACAAGATTGCCAACGAGTCACAAGTACCGGCAGGGCTTAGTGGGATGATACTGGGCCAGCACCCAGCGGACCCGGGTTCAAGCCCCACTGTGTCACTGGTACTAGGTCTTTTTTCTAATTTCGCGCGATGTAGTTATTGACACCGGTGGTGGTGGTGGCGGACAACTACGGCGCTGCGCGTGACCCGAGTTGGGATCTCATAACAGCTTTCGCTCTAATAATAGGAGAATTAGTGGCCGTTCATGAGCTTACGTAATACTGTGCACTGTCTCTCATTACCCATGAGTATAGAGATTGGCATGATTCAGTAGGCAACTCCGGTATCACTGATTGCTTTGACCCTTCCCAGGTTTCGAGTCAGTGGAGCTGTTATCCAACACGCTTAACAATAGAGAGCTACAAAACTTTATGCTACTTTTTTATGGTGTACTGTGTTTCGCTGTACTACATTCTTTGCCTTGGTATGAGGACCGTGTACACCTACCTGGTTATTTATTAGACCGACCGAGTATGGTTTCGAAGCTCTTTGCCTATATTCATTAACATTGTTTTGTACGACTTATGTTGATGTTGGCTCTCACAGTCGGTTGGCTAACGACCAGTTCATATAAGGTCACCTTCGTCAGCCAGAAAAAAAAAAGTTTTTGCCATTAAATTCACGCTGCTCCGTCGTGAGTTATAAACTTCTAGCATGGTTTCTAACTTTGTTCTGTTACCACACAGAAGGGGGCTTAGGTTAGGCTAGTTTAGGTATGTGCTAACAGAGCGTTTGTCGGCATATAGGACACTCACAAGGTGGACGCGACGATGAGACCAGCACTGTTATTTTGCGCCTTTATCTACGTCAGCCACAACACTCAAGCAAGCCCACAAGGAACTCTCCCCATGCACTACTACCAGAGTGCTTTGGTATTTTCAAAGCTGCGTGGCTTACCGATGCAGTCGTCACGCTTACAAATGATATGTTCCCCATTTCTCCACGAAAAGTATGTACATCAAAAAATAATTTGGTATAAATATGGTTTTGTTTATCTGTCTTGTTCCATGGCTTTGCTGCCAGTTCTTTTTTTTTCTGTCATGAAATAGACTCATGCTCTCGTCCCGTGCTCATGAAGCATCGTCTAATGTTTTCGCCAGCGCTTCCATCGTATTTTTTCATTGTGGTTGTTATCACGTATCCGGTGACCCTGTCCCATGCACCGTAAAACAACATACGTCATCATTACAATTTACGTAATTATTGGCAACACATTGAGAAACTGTTTGGGTACGAGGATATAGAACCAGAAAGTACCAATAAAAATATCATGCTTACTGCCATAACCTACTTAAAATGTTGAAAGAAAATTTTATAACACACAGCACTCACCTCTTCATTAAAGAAGCAATACAGCATTGATACGCAAAGACCCTGTAACGAAAAGGCAAAGTAGAGTACCGAATATGGAATGAAAGAACACATTTCTGCACGCCTGTTTTCTGTGGATTACAATGAAAAAAAGAAAAGCTAAACGGGAATCAATGTTATGCGAAGCATGCGTGCGGAGGAAAGGTGAGCGGGTTGCAATTTTTTGTTTAGTGACACGCCTTGAAATGACACCAAAAATGTACAAATGTCGCACGCGTAGACATACGTTGAAGAGTTACAGATGTGTATATAACCAGTTGTTTGCGCTAGCGCAACGATGCCAACTGGAACATTTGTATTAGGAACACCAGAAGCTGATATTAAGCGCTGATGCTCGCGAAGATGCTTGCCCTAAACACTGCTACATAAACCAACTTTAGCGCATGGCGACTAACTACATTTGACGTTAACCCGACGTGAGTACATCAAAAGAGTACACATTTAATGTTTATAAAATTGTGTAGGCTTCACTGCAAGCACTGTTGACGTTTCACAAATATCAGCGTCTATTTGAGAAGTAGAGAAGCAGAATACTTGGGTTCGATTCCAGCTATAGGACCCTGACATTCATTTTTTGCACTCGTTGAGTCGACGCTACCGACGTCGGGTATTTCTTTACACTCGCGCGTTAAAATGGTCCATGTGTGTTCTCGTCGTTCCTGGGTAGATACTAAGTGTCAATCGCCTGTGGCACATACCCGCATACCAGTGGCACATACCCGCCCGTGGGTATGTGCCACTGTCTGGCGAGAAGTGTTTGACGAAGTACGCGATGCGATTGTGACAGTATTCATGTCTTGACCAGCTTGTCGTATTCGTCAAACCATCTTACCCTTCCATGCCAATTTTGGTTCACGCCAAGTTAAGGGGGTGACCACGTAAGCACCCAACACAAGCGGCTAAATAGAGAGATAGATACGCTCAAAGTCACCGAAGATCTCTAAGAATGCTTCGCATTTAAAACACCACACCCCATCGCTGTGTTCGGTTTCTACGACTCTATCATTGTGCATATTGCTTCAACATACGAAATACTTAGGTGTTGATTGGATGCTACTTCCTTTGTTAGCATGAAAGTATTTTATGCCAGGGTTTACCATATGGCTCCGTTGACGTATTTCTGTGACGGATACGACGTTGTATAATATGCACCAACACATGATCAGGAAAAAAGAAGAAAAAGTTCCCGATGCTGAAAGTCGGACCTATACGACACCTCCCTTCACAATGCGCGGCTGGAAGTCACTCGGCCACGGAGCATAGGTTCTTCACCTTACTAAAAGTGAACTATTCATATACACCATTTAGCGTTGGCAGTACTAAGAGGTTGGTGGCTTCAGCATGTTCTTGTTATCACTAGCTAGATGGCGTGAAGGGCGTGGACGTTGCTCTATACAAGTTTGTCGCCGCACGCGTTGCGAAGCACGCGCGCCTCTACCCTGCGTGGTCTCTCGTGCGCACGTGCTTATCTCGAGATGGGAGTGGTTTGTACGTCTTGGGATTTCACAGCAAGTTTCCCTTGAACTTAGAATGAGCATGAAGGTCACTTCGCTCGCGGCCGTGGCCACTTTTGGAAAAGGAGCGCGCTGCTCACACACAGAGAAATAACCATTGTGGCAGCTGTTCGCGCTCGTCTATAGTGTTTGTTCTTTTTGCGCGCCCTTTCTGTGTGAGAAGCTTGCTGCAACTTTTCAGCTGCTTGCCATTCTTCACGCGACATTGCAATTTGTTGCTATAGCTTCACTTTGGTGGCGAAACAATGAACACTACTCTACCTCTGTTAAGACAAGTTAAGACAAGTTTCACTTTCGTGTTATGCCGATTCGTATGAAAGCGAGATCAACCACGCTTTTTATTATATGACCGCGTAAAACTTTACACGACCTGACCTAGCTAGCAGTCGTGTTTGACGATCAGAAAGCACTGTGTCTTGCTTCTATAAAAGACATGTTTTTTTATATTTACATATTCCACGAGTGCATCTCACCGCAGCCTACGGCAGTGTTCATTTCAAGGCTGTATGCTAGCCTGGAGCAAAATTGTTTAAGGCCTATACGCCGGAAAAAAATTTCTGTGGGTACGATTAGCAAACTAAGTGGCCATTTTGATAAGGCCAAAACATGAGCAAATTTTGTCAGGGAACATTGATGGGAAGAAGTGGCAACACAGTAACAACGCTTCAGCGTATTGTCTATGTTCTTGCTTTCAATCATATGGGGTATAGAGAGGCCCGTAGGCAGGAGTTTTTGAAGTGAGAAGAATGGGGAAGTGCACTTGCTGAAGGCCTTGAAAAACATATTTTCACTATTTATTCTCGGCAAAAAACTCCCCCTCATCCATATTAGGGACGCAAAGGCCAAGACTTTTTTCGCAGTCATTATTACGTGGTTCCATCCCTCACGAGTGGCGCAAAGCGAAAGCTTTACCTGTCTTCGAATCAGGCGATCCCTCCGATCTCCTTGACTACAGACCAATTTCTTTGACTTGCACTTTCTCAAAGCTCCTAGAACATGTTATCCACTCACAGATCATTGATTATCTCAAAGATCACAACAACATTTTCAAACAGCAGCATGGTTTTCGCAAGGGTTTCTCTTGTGAGACTCAGCTTGGAGGATTTACTAACGACCTATACTTGCCTATATGGACAACGGGTTTCAGGTTGACGCTTGATTTCTCGACTTCTCGAAGGCTTATAAGTGTGGCAGCTCGGGCTAGTTGGTATGGCATGACGATAGTTATAGCGCGAGAACAAAACGACGACACAGAGGCAAGTGTCCATCGTGTCTTTCTTGTCTCTGTGTCGTCGTTTTGTTCTTGAAGGCATTTGATCGTGTCCCTCACTACAGATAAATACTCAAGTTAGCGCATCTCAACATTGGTTCCACGGTCGTTGCATGTGTAAAAGACATTCTCTCCTCTCGCATCCGATTCACATCCGTAAACGGTTCTAACTCTTCAACGGCGCAGGTCACATCCGGCGTACCAAAAAGGAGCGTGCTAGACCCTCTGCTATTTCTCATATTTATCAATGATTTACTGAATGTAATTTCTTCTCACATTAGATTATTCGCCGACGACTGCGTTCTGTATCGTGCCATCAGAAGTGACGAGGACCACGGAGCCCTGCAAGTTGATCTCGAATCCATCAATTCATGGTGCTCATCATGGCAAATGAAGCTAAATCACTGCACGGCTAAAATCGTCTCGTTTACACGAAATACTTGCCGCCTCCTGACCACATGTACACTTAATCGCATACTCGCAGACTCAGTGACTTCATACAAATATCTAGGACTTCACTTCCTATATGATCTCTCCTGGAACCGATCACATTCTTGCAGCTGCTAACCGCTCCATCGGGATGTCAAAACGCAAACTACGTCATGCTCCTACGCATGTGCGAAAACTCGCGTATATTGCCTTTATCCGCACGAAAATTGAGTGCGCTTCAGCCATATGGGATCCGGATCTAGCATACACCATTAATAACATATAATCCTGGCAGAACCGTGCTGCTCATTTCATTTGTTCCGAATACTCTCGTTTCACTAGCGTCACTGCCTTAAAAGCTCGTGCTGGTCTTGTTCACCTATACCATCGTCGAAAACGTGCTCGCTTATCTCTTTTTATAAAAACTATCATCACCAATTGCTTCATGATAATTTTTTCCCAGTCCCCCTTAGCAATCTTTCCTCGCCGTGACCATCCTTTGTAGGTCAGACGCATAACATGCCGCACCTCATCATTCGCTAATTAGTTCATACCAAAAACTATCACTCAATGGAACCAGCTGCCTCGAGCTACTGCAATAGAAAGAATCACTGGAAAATGTATTGAACCTTTCAAAATTATAACGAAGTTTAGCATTTTGTGCTGTTCTCCTCAACAGATTTCGTTTTCTTTTTTTGGTCCATCTTTATGTAAGTCTGTTACCTTTCAATGCGTTTTTAGTTGTTTACTTTTCTATATTTCGAACAGACGTTATGTTATTGTGTTGCTCTTTTCATATGCACATGTTATATGTTTTGTTTGCACTTTTTTATGCTTGATGTGTATCAATTGCATTATTTCTTTTAAACCCACCCCTCTATGTAATACCCTCCCAGTGAGGGCCTTTAGGGGTTTCTTGAAATAAATAAATAAACGCACTCTGCTGGTTACGAGCCTGGCTGCAGAATTGTTATTGTGAAGTGAGGGTAACAATGGCATGACCTTGTTATGTAAATGTTCTCATTTGTGAGTTGATCCCCTCACTTTGCATGAAAGAACTAGGTCGCAGAATTAAGCTACAACACTTTGAAGCGAAGAAGGCAGCCCACTTGTAAAGACGTGACGAGGGCCGAGAAGATCTCGTACGTCAGGCAGATGTGATCCCTCTCTGGGCGGAACGGCAACACCACGTAGTGAAGGCCCAGCAGCGGAAGGAGAATCAGTGTGGCACGCACGGCTTTCCTGAAGAACACAGGGAGGCGCACAAATAAGACTTCAATGTTTGACGATTGTGCTCGTGTTATTACACTTTTCGCCCCATTGTAAGTGTTGCGGATTATTCATCTATATTTTTGTGAGAACGAATGGCACTGGTGAAACAGTCTTGTCGAGATGGGAAGGAAGGAAGCAAGAAACAAAGAAAGAAAGAAAGATAGAAAGAGAGAAGAAAGAAAGAAAGAAAGAAAGAAAGAAAGAAAATTGGCAGATCTCCCGTACAGTAGGAATCAATGATATGCAAAGCATGAACGAAAATGTTGATATGCCATTTTAGAATCAGCACAGTGTTACGAAGTTGAGGTAAATGATGCTGCATATGACTTCCGTGTCATGATTATCATGTTTGGATGTGCCATTTACCTTCGTCATCTATTCATGTCACGTGACACCAAATTGAGTATATTTGGAGCTAGCGAAACGACCGCGAGCGCTCTGTGAGTGTGGTATGTTGTCATGTTCTTACATGACACGCCAGTCAGGACTATCATGTTTGCACCCGTCATATATTTTGTCATCCATTGACGTACCATAATACCAAATGTGGTATATATGACGCTAGCGAAACGACCGCGAGTGCATCATGAGCATGGCATGTAGTCATGTTGTTATACGGGACACATGTCATGATTTTCATGTTAGGGTCTGTCGCTGGTGTTCGCCATGCAATCATGTCATACCATACCAGATTTCAAACATGCCATGTGAACGAAACCACCACAAGAGCTGCAGGACCATGGAATGTAAATCATGACATTCAGGACATAATATCATACAGCATATCGTCTTCTCTGTTCGTTTTTTCTTTCTCATTTCGTGTGATAGCGATTAGGGACAACGACGGCGGCGGAGAACTGCGCCACCAAAACCGGCTGCTGTGATCTCATTAACGCTTTCACTGTCAAAGTCTTATTCACACTGGTGCCCGATCACGACTGTCGACTAGGAAGCGACTCACCGTGACTTGATGTTCACATTGGTGGTGGGACCAGCCAGTGACCCCACCAAGATGTCTCGCGATTTTGTGCAGTTGAGGTCTTCTTTCCCCGCCATTGACTCGCAAAACGGGGTAATAACCTACAGTAGCTTCCCGCGTATCCAACTTTTTAAAGCCTTCAGCACCGCACTCGCACGAATGAAATGTGATCGAGCGACTGGCCCAATGCAATTGGTTTTCCAGAAAACGACCGTCTGCTGCAACTGTATGCGACCTACCTGAGTCGCTGTTGTGAACTAGTGTTAAGAAAATATTTTGATAGTGAGTATGTGTGGGTTGTGCACTCCCGCAGCCCAGGCTCTCACTGGCTGCATTCAGCTGACAAATGTTCATCACGTGCGACGTTCCAATGTTTACTCGCTGTAATTAATCACCCCGCTGCGGTGGTAACTGGTGGCTAAGGTACTCGGCTACACTGACCCGCACGTCACGGGATTGATTCCCGGCTGCGGCGGCTGCATTTTTAGGGGCGAAGCTCCTTATAGCGGCACCCGTTCGTCCCTCGTAGTCGTAGTAGTAGTGTGTAACCAGTCTTACATTTTGACCTCCAAGGTGGTGCCGGTGGGAGATTTCTTCTGTGCGTTGTTGAACAATAAAAAATTCGCAGCGTGCGCGTGAAAGGGTCACTCACCAGGTTTGACAATTTTAAGCTGACAAGCGCAATGCGTAGACGAGGCGTTCATGTTCACGTCTGCCAAAATTTGCAACGCTACGCGCCGCGAAAATGGATCAAATTTCAAGATGAAAGCTGCTCCCCCTCCCCTCTGCCGGCGCACGCCTAGAGACTGAGGGCATGACGTGGACGTATGAATGGCCCTACGTACACGGTAATGCAGTGACGTTGGTCATCTACGTAGACGACTCTGCTCTGATGTTGTAAGCAGTATACCACGTGACATGGCAAACATTATTTAACACAACATGCGTAGATTATGTATTTGTTGCTTTAAGAGATTATTAAAACTTGATCTAAATAATGAGACGCAATGAAAAATTGTGCCCGTTTTTCTTTCATTATTTCCCGTGAAATGCTACGAGATGCGGGGCTAATGTGCCAGCGTTTTGCATCCGTTCGGGTCCTCGTGGTCCGCGCATTGAGCAGACGACCGCCGTGGAACGCTTCTACGCGTTCACGCACTCATTGTGCTCATCTACTCTACCACCTCTAAGCCAGCGTTTCCAAACCATCCAGCAGAAACAGGCAGAAGACCACAAAATAATGCTGGTCAACAAAGCAACGCTGCTCACGTGCTCCGGGGATGAACTTGTTTTGGCACGTCATGCACACGTCACCTCTTGGTCGGATGCCGGAAAGGGTGGGAAAGAGCTTTGGCTTGCGAAGGCTACGCGGAGGAGCGGCAAGGGTTTCGAGCTCGCCTCCTCTCATCCTCGTTTCGCGCCGCTTCAAAAAACCTGTTTTCTCCGCTCGTGATGAAGCGATCCGAAAAATTTTTGTGGCAAAATGTTCCTCATCGGACACCCAACAGCTTCCACTGTCTAACTAAAATTCGTTATGGGGCCTGGTGAGCGGCCCTTTAACTAAAAGCCGAATTCTCCTGTCTCTCATTCCCCCTTAGCAGCTATTGGCATGTACATTGAGCACTATCTGACAAGAAAGGGTTGCTACGTTACACTCGCTGGGCGTAACCTCTTTGGTTTTAGAAAGGTTTAGCGAGCGTTGGGCCGCAGTACCATGAATACAGTGAACTAGTATATATCATGAACTCGAGGTGGTTAAAGGTGGGAAGTAGACACGAAGCTCAAGCAGTAAGAAAGCGTGCGTGTGCCTCCTCTCGTTCAGTCCTTGGGATGTCCTCTGGATGGCGGTGCTTCTATATGAGGAATATACGATGAAAAGATGCGAAATGGTGGTACTTGGAGTGTTGTATAGGCGGACAAACGGACACACAGACAGATGCATGGACGGACGCACGGATGGCTGCACGACGGATGGACGCATGGACGGACGCAGGAGCGGATGCGTGGACGAACGCAGGAACGGACGCACAGATGGACGTGTGGACGCACGAACAGATGCACGCACGGACGGGCGGATGGACGCACGGGCGGTCACACAGACGCACGCATGGATGAACGGAAGCAAGAACGAATGAAGGACGGATGATTCGCCCCACTCTCCATCACTCACTCCGTGGATATGCTGCCATTTTTTTTATGGAGGCGAAAATGCTCTAGACACGTGCGCTCAGATTTGGGTGCACGTTGAAGAACCACAGCTGGTCAAATTCCCGGAGCCTTCCACTACGGCTGTCTCTCATAACTATATGGCGGTTTCGGGACGGTTAAACCCAATATATCAGTGAATCATGCTGTAGTCAACAAACATTGAGAATGATTGATTGATATGTCGCGTTTAACGTTGCAAAACCGCCATGTGATTATGAAAGACGCCGTAGTGGAGTGCTCCGCAAATTTCAACCACCTGAGAATCTTGGGAAGCTTCAACAGCAGAAGTTATGTCTATACTTGTACTCGGCGCTGGCGTTATCTCAAGTCTTGCAATATGAAAATGAGCAGTGACGAAATTTAGAAATTGCCAAGAAAGCGTGTTTGTGTGGCGCAGCACAGCTGTCACTAGAAACCTCTAGCAGACGCCATTATCACATAGTGAACTGAGTGAGAGTAATTGTCCTAACGATGGCGAAGCTGAGCTGCCTATGTTTCTCAGTGCTGAATACGAAATCTACTATTTACCACCCAATGTCCGCACACAACAGCAACTGACATAAGCTTGCCCAGGGTTCCCCTTCTTGGGAGGGAGGGGGGGGAGGCTAAGGTTTGTCGCAGTGCCCCAAAATCTATTAGATAAATGTATGCAACAGACTTTGCCTCCCCTTCGCCCCTCCTCCGGGTGAGGGACGGTCACCCTTCCTAAACCCCCATCCTTCCGCGCACTGCGCATGCCTATGACAAGAGAGGAGGCTTTCTCAATGGTGCCCTGCCACACTTTTTGAGCATGGTTAGAAAACACTGCCGATCGGTAGTAGAGGCTCTCGAGAACACACAAGCGAAATATTATAACGCAGCACGCTGTTTAAAATTCACAATAAATTATCGAAGTCAACTAAAAGTTGCTTTCTTTTCTCTCTATAAATCACGGAAGACGCTCAAAAATCGTGCGTAGAAGGCCGTTCTATCAGCCATTGACTGATTTGAACATGGCACACTCAGTAGTTAAATGAATCGCCGCGGGAGGCCGTGACTTGTGCACGCGTGCGCGCGCGATCACACTAAGGAAGCCGCACATTCAGAGAAAAAGAAAAGTGCCGGAGGTCACGAAGCGCACGTGACGTTTTTTTTTTTTCTTTTTTTGCACCTGTCATTCTTCCCTGCTTTGCCCCCAGCGCTTTCGCCGGAACGAGAGAAGAGACAGCGCGATTGCAGCGTGCGACATTTATTTGTAACTCCACTCGTACTGGACATAATCTTAAAATTTTTACTGAGTTGAATTCATGAGGCAATACGCTCTTTTGGTGAATCCATTGCACGGTTACTTGAAGAAGTGTTTCAGGGCCCCTTTAAAAGATGAGCGCCCCATTCAAAGTGATAAGGGGTTGCGTGCGTCGTTTACGCGGCTACGCAGATTATGATCGATAGTGAGATATTACTTGTATTCCTACAATTGACATCAGGAATTCTATGAAAAAGACATTTCACGTAGACGCATGTTTTATAGGATAGTCAAAAATAAAAGACAGTGGGGAGAGACTTAGAGAGTAGTTAATTGTTACAAGTTCAAAAATATTTTTCACTTACCTCGCACTGTCGCGGTCTGGAGAATTGACAGCTCTTAGTTTTGACACCAGAACCCTTACAATGTTCACGAGGAATGCGAGGCTTAGCTGCACGAAATAAGTGACCATTATAAAGGGCGCCATCAATATGTTTTATGACCCATGCAATCTAAACACAAAATTCTAAATACAAACAAGCCTTCGTCGCGCTAATGTAACGTCATAACGTGCACAGCAGCTTTCCGTAATTAATCTTCGCGTTGTATAATGGGCAGTGGCGCTTTTAAAAGGTGCACGCTTTTGCGTCTACACTGCTCCGAATTGGGGTAAACGTAAAATTACATGCTAGAAATGATTTAGAAGCTGAATACTTCTGCGTGTATTGTCTATTCAGCAGAGAAAAAACGGAGATCTGTCTGGACAATTTTGGCGCCTTTGACTATAACGTCAAACAACAACAACAACAACAACAACAACAACAACAACAACAACAACAACAACAACAACAACAACAACAACAACAACAACAACAACAACAACAACAACAACAACAACAACAACAACATTAATAATAATAATAATAATAATAATAATAATAATAATAATAATAATAATAATAGTAATAATAATAGTTGTTATCATTTGACTATCTCGTTCTTAGAGGACTTTGGCGGAAAGGAACATTTCGCGCATAAATACGACTCTTACTGATCATTCAAACCATTTATGTTTTTTTTCGAAAACTGAAAACTAGTTTTGCAATTTTTAAACGGGGCCCTGAAAGGTCGAGTGGGGAATATAGGTTCACACTTTTGTTCTTGAGCGCAACAAAGCCCGTGCATCGCCTTACCAGTATTGAAAAGCATACAGGCACAATCAGTATGTAGGTGTACCACACATCGTGTTCCAACCAGCACCTAAAAAGAAGGAAATAAATAGCTGTTTAAACGTAATGTAAATGTGACCGATATGTGAGAAAAACAAACAAACTATAGCGGCATCATTTATTGACAAAAATTAGAGTTTATTTTTGTCGAGTATTTGCGGCTAGTGTTAACACCGTTGCCCATGTGGAAGGATGGATGGATGAACTTTATTTGGTACTTCAGAACGTGCACGTTGCGGGCCGCTCCCACGTCATGTGTGTGCTTTTTTTTATCCTATTTCTTCGCGCTATTCACACTGTTTTTTTTATACAATGAAGATGAACCAACTCCCCAAAATGAAGTTGTTCCTATCAGTTCGGCGTGGAAATGCATGGCAACTCTTGTGGAATGAGTTGAAACGATACACACGCTTACGAAAATTTCTTGCCTCGTTATTGTGCCTGCACACGTCACAAAGGTAGCACAATTCCTTGGGGAATGCCACTCGGCCTAGAGTTAAATGACACTTCTTCGAGAGACAATAAGCTTCTTAGCGTTATGATACAGCACACGTCAAGTGGACTATTGCTCGCGGAACTAAATGTTACATAGGATAACAGGGGCAAAATCAATAACCAGTACTATTTTACGATGCAGTAGGTTCTTCAGCACAGTACAGGAAAAGCTCGTTAGTGAGAACTCCTTTACTTCGAACTTACAATTAATTTGAACTGACGCCCTGTTTCCGACACAGCCCTGTGTAGTTCTATTGAGGGGGGGGGGGATCTTGATAATTCAAACACGTCATTATACACAACAAGAAATTAGAACTGCAAGCCACCTGGCTTTCAACGCTGCTCTCAGAAGTGGGCGATTGGTGAAGACGATGTGTTGGAAAACCAAGCCAAACCAAATATATACTAGAGCGGCAAAATACCGAAATAGCAGCATTTCTCTGCGGATGAGAATTCGAACGCTGTGCATGGAATTGTTCGCCAGGTGGCAAGCGATGCTAATGGAGTCGCGACAGAAAAGCGCAAGCAAATATAAATAACTGATTACTTCAAATTTTGATCGCGCTAACTCTGCCAATGTTATGAACGTGTTTTGTAGCACAAATAGCTTCCTAGATTTTGACTGGCCCACTGCTCATATAAATGCACGCCACTGCGCAATTCTGGCGTATCACTGACTAATTACTTTGTTCTTTTCACTGTTAGAGCTTTACGAGTCTAATTTACAAAATCACCTGCCAGAAACTTTAGTGTTGCCTAATTCGCGATGGCGAGTCCTGAGGTGGCTTTTCTGGGTTCTGCCCGGGCAGTGTGGCGGCATGTCCGTTCATTCTGGCGCCCGCCCACTAAATTGAACTCCACTTGTGTGAACATTGTTATAGTCCCCTGTGTGTTTAACAGCTTAACAAGCTTTTTATGCATTTGAAATTAAGAGAAGCTTGTTTTACAACCTTATGCCCCAACAACGACAACAACAAAAAAAAAAACATTCATCAAAGCCTCATATCACTCACATTCTCGATGCGTCTGAGTCTAAGCCACGTGCCACAGTGTAGGCAACGCTTGGCAATAAGGGAAAACCTGCGAAGTAGGTAAGACCATTGACGTATGAAAAATGAGATTACCGACGCTTTAACTTTGACCTTCTTATGAATGAATAACGCTACCATATAAATAAAAAATTCACCGAACAGGGCTTGCTTGTGCGTTCGAATGCGGTTTCTAAATACCTGCCCTATGTTCGCCGATTCTGCGATTCCTATTAGGCATTGGATGTAAAAACAACTTAAAATGAACGCGATAGCTGTAATAACAATCACTTTATTGCAAGGTATTGGTGATTGACAGTCCAGAATAAACATAGGAAACAGGGTAGAAATATGTTTCGCTTGGTTTTTTTTTTGTCACCATGCTTTGAGAAGTATTGAGAAATCGTGTAACGTCAATATTGGACGTCTGCAGGTATTGGAGCCACAGATCAAAGTTTGTTGATGTAAGACAACTTTCCTTGAATATTCTTTGGAACATTGAAAAAACGGAATGAACAATAAAATTTGGAGTTTAACGTCTCAATACATCCATATTATTGTGAGTAAGAACGCAATGAAGCTTCTGAAAATATTGCATTTCTTTTCAGTAATAGGTTTTTAACAAAAAGGTAATGTTAGAATGACCATTCTTTCTATAAATAAATATTAAGCATTTTTACGCTTTACCAGTATTATGGGGTGTTCGGTTGGTATATTCAAGAGATTCAGAGCCACTGTTGCTGGTAAATAGAGTAATGAAGGTCGCACGACTTTCTATCTCTTGGTAACCATATTCTAAATATCTTTGTTTATAAAGCTTGCGGGTTCTGATGCTAAAATAAATAAACACATAATTGAAATCATATAAAAAGCACTTTTCTGTATTTTTCCACACTAATTAGGCATTCTTGCCTAGAAGTTGGGAAGTACATACCCCAGCCAATCAGCACCAACCACTTGATGGCATTGTCTTCGTCGACAAATGCAAGCACCAAGAGCGTGTGCAAGTACAGGCCCTCGCAAAACATCCAAAGGTAGTTGCAGACCAGGAAGTGCTGGGTCACCACGTGCAGAATTTGGCACCAGATCTGATGTGGGCAAAAGGAGAAGAGGAGAAAAAAAAATGCTCCCTTTCTTTGTCAGGTTAGATTCGGTATTTGCTGGCAATATTGAACGGTCTACTCTCACCGGGTTCAGTTCGATTACATGCGCTCCTGCGACGACTTGCACGTACCAGAGTATCCAGCAGAAGTTGCTGACAATGAACGACGTGAACAAGTTTTTATGAATTGTTATTCGCTTGCAACGAAGAGATCTGCGAGGAGAAAAGGAGAATATTATGTGTGTTACAAACGCGCACTTTTCCAATTCAAGTTTCTATAAAAGACCCCTCACGAAAGTGGAGCGCAGAAAAATGAGCCGGTTGGTGAGATATCGAATGCTTATTAGTGAAGGGTGCACTGGGATGAATAAGGCGGAAGTGGCCCACCCCATTGAGATGACTGAAGAAATGACTTCCACTCTTTCCAACGTGTCTACGCCGACCGGGACTTTGAATGCCACTGTTTCTGCTTGGTTGAATATTTGTGTTTCTCTTTCTCGGAAAAGCCAGTTAGGGCACAACATATTGCTGTGGAAGTTGTAAAAGTGTCGTCTTACATATGAATGTGTAACTTTTCTTAATGTCATATATAGCATTGTAGCTAGACTTCACGTGCGTTGTAGATGCCTTTAATAAACCTCAGGATATTTCCCGATACTCAGGAAGTGTGCATCATCTAACACATCGCCAGAAAGTGCTAGTTGCTACGAGAAAATTCATTCATTCATTTAGTCATTTCTCAAAGTGCCCATGGCATCAGCCAGTTCTTGTTTTTTTATTGGGATATATGGCTTGATAACCAGTCATGCATTCTCTTTCACGTAGTTAACGTTTCAATCTATTCTGTGTCTAGAAAACAGAGTCTTTATCAATCTGCATATTGCCTGTCATTTCTCTTTTAGAAGTAAAACGATTATATCAGCCTGCCCATGATTGTATGGTATCACAGTCCCTCTTTGGCATTCAAAGTAATTTATTTGACTTAGGCAAACGTTTCCTTGAATACCCGGGTTATTAAAACGCATAGTCGTTTAATGAACGAAAACATGAAGTGGTTGCCATTTGACGTGTATTGTGGCTCGAGTTAGCGCAGTCACCAGTGAAACTTACTTTGCACCATCTAGCCTCCGTACAACACATGGCTTTCTTAGGCTGACAGGGTTTTGCGTCAGCAGTTTATTGTTCTTCTCCTTGTTATTTAGTCTTTTTCCAATTTACAAAAATCTGACGTCACCATCGGAGCTATCATTTAGAATGACCTGAACTGATGGCCAAGCTAATCGTACGTGTTGATGGCCGTGTTTTAAAGAGCCTATAGCCGATGATTTTTATTATACTTATAATATTTTTAACAGGGCTACTTTTTTAAACAAACATGCTGTGATTGCACTAGTTAAGTTGCGTTATGAAGAGCCGTAAGTCTCATTTAAATTGTTCATAACAGGGGTAATGTACGCTTGCATCAGGGAACTTTAACTCAGAGTGCAAATACTCAATTTTTAATAGAGCTCTCATACTACTGATGCAACTGCCAAAACACAGGAATAAACACAGGAAATGCGGTGAAGTGCCCACCTGAAGGAGAAGAATATGGCAAGAGACAAGGTGAGAGCTACCAACGATATCGAGTATCCAGCGACGTACAGCGAGTTCACCAAGTTGCCATACTGCGAAAAAAAAAAGACAGTTCTCTAAGAAATCATTGGATGTTGCGCTGGTTGTGTTCGAGTTGAAATTGCTCGCACTTAACACACAATGATGATTCCACCTAACACGACCGTATCATGTAAGCCCAAGCGAAAATGAAACGCCCACCAAACTTCGGTTCTTGGATTTTAGTGCGACAGCAATTATCAAGGCACACATAGGGAAAATTCACAATCGGCGCTGATGTGGTGGTGCGTAATAGGTCGAGTGGTAATGCTCTCCAATACTCCGTACAGTACACTCTTGGATCAAGAGAAAGCATGCCAGAAAGCACACCGTCTTCACAATAAGTGGGGTCAAGTGGGGGGGAAAAGGCGATCGCATTTGTGCATGGAAAGGAACAGGCGGGATTATAGGAGCCCTGAAACACTCTTTTGAGTAACCATGTAAATAATTCACTGGAAAAGCGTATTGCCTCACAGGTTCATTACCGCAAAAATTTTAAGAATCCGTCTAGTACGAGCGGAGTTACAAAGATTTATCACGCTGGAATCGCATTCTCCCTTCTCTCGTCCCGACGAAAGCGCTGGAGGCTAGGCAAGGAGGAATGGGAAAGGCAAATAAAAAACGGCACGCGCGGCTTGTGACCTTGAGGAGTTTTTGTTTTTTGTTTTTTTTTTTTTCATCGAATACGCGTCTTTCTCAGTGCGATCACGCGCACACGCGTGGGCAAGTGACGGCCTCTTGCGGTGATTTCTGTAACAACCGAGCGCGCTACGTTCAAATCAGGCCAATGGCTGGTAGATGGGTCATCTACGTGTGATTTTTCGGCATATTCCGTGATTTGTCAAGAGAAGAGAAAGCAATTATTAGCTGACTTCGATCATTTATGGTGAATTCCAGGTCACGTGCTGCGCCATAATATTTTGGCTCACGTGTTCTCGGAAGCCTCTACTACCGATCGGCAGCGTTTTCTGACCATGCTCAAAAAGTGTTGCAGGGTCCCCTTTATAAGGAAAGGTGGGTGCTTGCTTGTGCCCGGCCGGGAGGTGACTCGAACATCAAACGTCGCAAAAGGGGGTGCGCTTGCTCTCTCTCGCAAGTTACCGTCTGCTGTTTCAAAAATTGATAGAGCTCAGACCGTTCCTACAGGGTTACGTGTTTGTTCCTTCGGCGATATCCACGAATCCCCGCTTGCCTAACGTTGCGAAGGAGCGAGAAGCAGAAGCAATGCGACACGTTTGCTCACTTTCGTTTGCACTGTTCCTTGAAGCCAGTGTCGCCAAAGCATGTACTCGCGCTTGTAGAGTGAGATGTGATCCTGTTTGCCTGTACAAGCAAATACGGCGCCTGATAAGAGCCGGAATGTTTAGAGCAGTGGTTAAGGCCAATGAAACAGCGAGCCTTTGTAAAGCTGTTTAACGCTCGGGGGCAGCAGCACAAAACTTTAAAGTTGTGTGCCTTGTTCACAAGTTCTGCCCCCCCCCCCCCCTCCCGCCCTGCATCACACCTCATACCGTCATGAGCACCCGAAAGCAGTTTATCTTCCTGTAGCCCGCATTCATGCTTGCATGAAATCAATCTTCGTTCGGACCATAAAGTACTGCAATTTTTCGTTTGCCGACGTGGTCCACCACCCTAGCTATACATCTTTCAAGACGTTCATCGAAACCATCGTGGTCTAGTTATGCCCATACTCATGAGGCTATTACATGAGGGGGAGAGGGGAGGTAAACAATATGCCTCGTTAATAGATCTTGGGTTATGCTTGAGTTATTTGTTAGGGAATTGGAGTCATTCATTATAATATTACGTCAAACGTGTCTATAAGTATTTGAGCTACTAATAAATAAAAATGTGTACATGTTGTGTTATCAGTGGGTCACCTTTTGTAAAAATCTCTGTTTATTTTTCAGAAGAGCATGAAACGCGCAACGTATTCATACAAGGCAAAGCAACGCCCCATCCCATGGTTAAGTGTAAAAAGTAAGGAATTACTTATATAACACAGACCTCTAAGTCGTGGGTGTCGACGCAGGCCGTGTAGTTGGACCAGACGTGGCCAGTGGCGGGATGGACAAACCAAGTTCCGTTGGAACTGCACACCTTGTGCGCCTGCCCTTTCGCAAGTGATCGACAAACGATGAATTCAGATCAGTGACAGTCGATGTATGAAGCTGCGTCGGTCACTACAGTTAAGTTTTACGTTGCCATGCTCAACTTGGATGCAAAGAAACGGACTAAATTATGAAAGATATTACAACCGCACAAACTCTCGTATAACAAAGCGAATCAAGTTAGAATGGCTAAGTGATTTATGTGGACATGAACAGTGAAATGAGCCCTCCGAATTTCCTTCCTTCAGTCATTGGCTTTACAATAAGATACAAGTAACTCAAGTCTGAAGTGTTACTCGAGGGCTTATGTGAACACTGCAAGTTTTGCACTGCTGTTCTAAGCCGCAAGTTTTAGTATAGAATAACTGCCGAGCACGTATTTATTAAGCGCCTCTACACGTTACGACATTGGTGTATATGGGCCTGAAATCACACTAGTTATGGAATCCACAATAAATTAAATCTCCCTTACTAAGTAAAAGCGAATACCCAAAATGATTATTTAGAGCCTGCGTTCATTTCATCTGTGAAACATACTCAAAGCTCAACTGCTGCATGTACTGTTAAAATGGTAAAGAAAGACGTCATTCAGATTCGGGTGCACGTTAAAGAACCCCAGGTGGTCAAAATTTCCGGAGCCCTCCACTACGGCGTCTCTCATAATCATATGGTGGTTTTAAGACGTTAAACCCCACAAATCAATCAATCAAGAAAGACGTCATTTCACATCGTGCTGGTGTATTTTGCTATAAAATATCAAAGTCCGTGAGCAGCCGCATACAGACACGCGGCTTCACATTCGCTTTTTATGCCGACAAAAATCTACTTACTACCTTCGTAAATCTTGCATACCGTGTTACAATAGCCGGCTTTTCACAACCTACCTTGACTCGGAAGCGGTGATTTTGCCACCTGAGTATAGTGCAGGTGCACTTTGTTCAAATGACCCATAATCGGCTCAAGATCATTAACTCGACTGTTGCTTTTGCCTACGCTATCCATCACATTGCCAACACATTATAATAACCTATCTCCGACTTTGAAAAATTTTCTCAAACATAGTATAATTGAAATTCATTGAGTTCCGCATTATGCGGTGATTTTATTTATGTCTTCTACATTTGAACAATTTATTCAGTGAACTGCTGTTCTGCAGCACCGTAATCATGTTATTAACTCGCGTAATTTAGGGGACTGACTTATACCACGTTTTGGCACGGACTGTAAATTACATTCACTGCAATACAACCTCCCTTGTATTCAAAATAAGCATAAACATTTACCTAAACCGGCACCTAGTACTTTACGTGAAATATTTCTCAATTACTAAATGTTTATACATTTCAATTATTTCACAAACATGTAGTAGTCCATTTCTTTCTGTATATCGTTGCATATGATAAAGTACCACTTTTGATTGATTGATTTGTGGGGTTTAACGTCCCAAAACCACCATTTGATTATGAGAGACGCCGTAGTGGAGGGCTCCGGAAATTTTGACCACCTGGGGTTCTTTAACGTGCACCCAAATCTGAGTACACGGGCCTACAACATTTCCGCCTCCATCGGAAATGCAGCCGCCGCAGCCGGGAATCGAACCCGCGACCTGCGGGTCCGCAGCCGAGTACCTTAGCCACTAGACCACCGCGGCGGGGCAAAAAAGTACCACTTTTTATTATATTGTGATGATAATAATGTTCTGTGCAGTTTATTGCCACCATTGTGGGTGTAATTTACGCTATTGATTTTTTAAATTATGGTATTGCAATTTTTTTTTTCTGTAAATAACTTTCGAGCGTTTGGCTCGTATTGCTTGTTGTTTAACAGTTTCATTGAAAAAATATGTGCGTATGTCGCTTTGTACAAATATTTTATGTTTCTTTATGTAAAAACATTTGTAGCTACTTTTGTGTTTGAAAAAAAAAAATCAGCTGTCACTTGTTTGCCGTGTGGTTGGTCTCCTGGGTCACAGTCAAGCTATTTGATTACAGCTTTCAGCCAAGGGGACCATCAAGAGTGTATTATCATGTAATATTTTGTCAATTCTGAAAAAAAAATTATCGGCCAGGCCTGCACGGAACGCACACCACAGTCACAGTGATAACTGGAAGAGTGGCCATTCGGAGCCTTTTCTAAACACTCTTTGGGTAACTGCTACAAGTAAACTTTGTGGATACCCACTACGCCATACATACTCATAATTTTTGTGCAGTAGGCCGGCTTTTACTATGCTACCTTTCATCGTTCTTCAAAGAAGCGTGGTATCCGCTACACACTTTCAAGGAATTTTGTGAAAATATTCTATGCAATGGCTGACAACGACAAAAAATTCCCTCTACTTCCGTCTGCTTGATGCATCAATGTTTCTTTCTTTTAATCCTACTATAATACGGATCTATTTCTGTTCGCTACGTGACGCGAACGAAATGACGCACTCACTGTACGGTACGAATCCAGCGACGAATTGAGGGCAAGGTGCGAACGCTGTGTGACCAGGCAGGGTGTCGTTCCAGCAGCTCCAGCCGTCCCAAGTTCGGGGACAAACAGAATCATTCAAGCCTGGAAGGTGCGAGAAGAACTAGCTCATTAAATTGATCAACGTCACAAAGGAACAGTACGGAATACACCATTTTCGTTTATGCATGCGGACGTTCACCTATGAGAGGAGACGGCTTTAGGAGGACGTCTTCCAGACAGTCCTTGAAACGGTCGATCTTTTCTTCCACGATTCCGTCCTCCCCGCTGTGCTGCTTTCGTTCCCAGGGAACGTCGTCACCTAGTTCTTGGGCAATGTGGTGCAAAAGCGTCGGTTCGGAATTCTGGAATGAAAACAAATACGTTGCAATGCGCGGCTATGCCTACATTGCTTTTTTTCATTGCACACACTTGTCCGGAGAACAATGTATTGATAGTCTAAAACCTCAATGAAACTTGTTTTTGTATCAACGTGTTCTTGTAAGTGGTGCTTTCATGCACAATACTGTATCAGAAAGAGTTCCCTGTCCGTACAAACAACAACAACAAAAGACGAGTCATGATTTCAGTTACGAGTGTAACGAAATGTCTAATCTTCAGTAAATACTTGATTGTGACGAGCTATTACAATGGCTTAGATGGATTTCATGGTGAGCCGCTTACTTCTGTAGATGAGCTGGTACAGGATGAGTAGTCTGCAGCAACACCGTCCCATGAGCCATTCAAGTGGCAGGCGTACTTTGCGACCGCTGTTTCCGTGAGAACGAGAAAAAAAAAGAAAGACGGGTAATAAATGAGCGATGTGCGAAAGAAAAAAAATCACTTATCCAATTTGCCTACTTAAACGCAAACGGCATATTTTTTTTACATATCCCCCGAAAATTTCACTTGTGAATGTACCAGTACAAACGTATAGCAATATGCTATTGGCGTAGTTCTTAAGCTACAGCTTGCTCCATGATTATACGTTTTTTATTACAGTGAAAGCTGTTATGAGATCACAACTCGGGTCTCGCGCAGGGCCGTAGTTGACCGCCGCCGCTGCCGATGTCCGTAACCTAAATCGCGCGAAATAAATAAAAAAAAAAACCTAGTACCAATGACACAATGAAGCTCGAACCTGGGTCCGCTGGTTGCCAGCCTAGCATTCTACCACTGAGCTACACCGTTTTTTTTCTTTAATGATTGACATTATCACCAATTATCACCAGTAAAGTACACAGAACATATTTCTTCAGAAGTCAGGCAAACACACACAAGCGTCAAGAACGGGAAGCCACTCCTGAACGGGGTCAAAAAGTCTCGACAACACTGCGCACTTGAACAGCTGCTTCTCGGAAGACAGATCTCGTCGACCAAGGTGGCTCAGCGTGTCTATCGATCATGCGACTTTTCCATAATGAATAAAGTCCTAACAACATAAACAGGTCGTAAGGAGTACTATCAGTCAGACTCTTTTTGAACGGAAGGAACCTAGCTACATGCTACACCGTTTTTTTCTTTATTACTTACTTTTGCACATTGAAAAAATAAAGCACTGAGCTACACCGGGGCTTGAGAAAGCTTGCCTTAGACAGGCTTGATGTAGGAAAAGCAATCGCGTTAATACGACTTATAAAGCATTCTAAACCAGCGAAAGAACAAGCAGTCGTCGCACAATGCGAATAGCGTAACGAGTGGGTCGTCCAATGCTCCAACACATTACAAAAGATTGATTTTGTTTAACTATGACTGTGGCGCATACCCACTTCAGGCATAATTCCTCATCGTGATCAGTTACTGCATGAACAATTGGCACAAAATTCCTTGCAAATGTTTACCGGATACAACGCTTCTCAGAAGAATGACGAAATTTAGCAAAACGAATGACGGCCTACTACTCTAAAATTTTTATTATTATTGCCGTATTGAGCGTCAAGCACGTGTGCTTTCAGCCATTACCCAATGATTGTTTAGAAAAGGCTATTAATGCCGTAGTGGGCATCAAGCAAGTGTGCTTGCAACGGTTACCCAATTAGTGTTTAGAAAAGGCTCTGGAAGGCCGCTCTTCTAGCTTTCGCTGTTACTGTGCTGCGCCTCCGCACAGGCTTGGTATTTGTTTTCTTTACGGCACATTCACAAGAGAAAGATATATAGAAAAAAAAGAAAAGAAGACAGAAAGCTGTTAACAAGATTTCGTCCTCTTTTCTACCCTGGCTTAAGAGAACAGGTAGTAGACCAAAAAACCGAAGCAGAAGAAGAAAAAATGGGTACAGTTCGCACTGAGCTACGCAAGGGTCGATAGAGCGGAACTAGACGGTTTTGAATGCTAGTCAGGTTGCATCTGGGTTCTTTCTAGTCCACTTATAGGTTGTTTCTAGGTCGTTGCGGGGTTGTTTACGCGTTGATTTTCAGCGCAGAGAGGTTCGAGTTAAGCCACTGACAGACCCGACACGGACGTCCAAACTGCAGATTCAGAAACTTGCGCTGAAACCATGGCGTTTTGACTCTCGTAGATCTACGGGCGCGTCTTCGTTAGCGTACGCCATTCAACACTTCGGGGTCTTGTCGCAGCTTTGGTTGCCTCTCAATTTCCCTAGCATTCTTTCGTTGAACGTACTCGGGGTCTTCGGGTCGCTCCGCCATCACTTTTCAGTAAACAGTTTGGCTATAGCTATCGCCTTCTTCATTTTAGTGAACCAGTGAAGATTATTGGGTTTTATCCTACTTCTGTGACAAACGGCCGGGTACGAGTTTTGAGTGTAATGGTCGCCTTTTTCATTTTCATCTTATTTCTGCAGGCGTACACCCACGTACGATTATGATTGTTTTCTGATAAACTGCACGCGCAAATTACGGGCTAGCTTAAGTATGTTTGATCCTAAAACAGAGATGAAGAGAAGCTCCGGCACACCATTGGACTGCAGTCAAGACTCTCTAGGACCATCTTCACGTGAGAGAATGTTTATTCAGGTACCTCCGCTCCCTAGCAAGTGCAACGTATACAAGGGCTAAAGGTGACTGGCTTTCGTAGCACGGTCACCTTTAATGCTAACATCATCCTAATACATAAGAGAAGAGATGACAAGGACTTGAATTAAACAGGTAGATCAGCTTGCTCTCCATGGTAGGCAAGCTATTTGCAAAATTAATTGCTAACAGAATTAAAACAAAATTAGAATTCAATCAACCAAAGGAACAAGCAGGATTTCGATCAGACTACTAAACAATCGACCACATTCATACTATCAATCAGGTAATGGAGAAATGCTCAGAATACAGCCAACCACTATACATAGCCTTCATAGATTACGAGAAGGCGTTTGATTCCGTAGAAATATCAGCAGTCATGCAGACATTGCGGAATCAGGGCGTCGAGGAAGCATATATAAACACCCTGGAAGAAATCTACAAGGGATCAACTGCTACCATAGTGCTTCATAAAGAAAGCACGGTAATAGTGATCTTCTAACTTGCGTGTGCGAACCTAGGGAGAGTTTCTGGGTGTCCTATTTGCCCTTGTCGCCTTTTATAGAACGTTTGTGTAGGCAGTGCCGTGACGCGTTACAGAGTACCAACAGTCTTTTGTCCAAGCTGTGTCTGTGCGGTTGGGAAAGAAACACTCATCAGGACGCGAATAAACGTTTTATTCGTACCATCTAGAATAGATAAGTGGTCGAATCAGTAAGATTCAGTGTTATGAAACGGTGCCGCGGAATAAGAGAAGAACGCGGAAGACACACCAATACGAGTGCGAACTTTCAAATGTTTTCAAGACCTGTTACCGATCAATGTCATCAAGAAGCACGATCACTTTGTTGGACCCCACCCTCCCTCCTTGCTTTCGCAGAAAGCTTGGATTCACACATGGTTCGCAAGCACATAGCATCACCGGTATTACAGTAAAGTGGAGTGAAATGAGGCTCGGGGCAAAACGTGACATTTTGACTTTGCCGGCCTCTTTAGCTAGTACTAAAACTACGTTTCTTTCTTTCTCTCGTCCAGCGATAAGTGCTGGTCGTTGTCTTTTTTTTGTGTGCAAAAGTTTGTGATTGTTTACAGCGTTCGCGCGGACGAAATTAGGCAGCCGGTGTCAGTGTGTTCGTGACTCGTCAAAAAGGGGTGACATTCTGCTCGGCCAAATTTTCGGATCCGTGCATGAAGCTATTCCTGCGTCAGTATACAGCAACGTAAATATTTATTTTGTTACTTTAGACTACGAGCAACATGATACTGAAAATTCAGTTCGTGTAGTACCCGGGAACAAAGCGATTTTTTTTTCAATTCTGGCACGTGAGAAGAGCAAAACGAGACAAAAGGCTGCCTAATTGCCTTAGACAGTGTCTTATTAGTTGAACCCAATAACGTACACTCATAATATATCATATTTCTTTTTTTAGGAGGGTTCTTAAATACAAGAGAATATCATATAGAGCTCTCAGGTATGGAAATAACATAAAACAGCCTGAATTGTCGTTCAGGACATGACTCCCTTCATTCGCGCTGCATCGAGGTTTTTTTCGTGTTCCCAAGGATGCTCTGACGCATAAAAAAAATGTGGAATTTCCAAGTGTAGCCGTTTAAAAACGTATTGAAAATGAGGTTTGATGACGTTTCTGCAATATCATAATTGGAAAAACAAACATTAGAAAATATGAATCTGGCATAGTTTTGTATTCATTGCCTCACAAAGACAGGCGGACGAAGTAAAAGCCATGAAACGCCTTAGTAGTCCTGCGTCAAAACGGCGAAAAAATGTGAAAATGCGTCAAAACAACTGTAGCATCCAATTATTGAATAATCCAATGCGGTACAAGCGTTAAACAAAAGGCAACATTAAAAAAATAAAGACTGCCGGTATTTCATTTTAAGAAGTTTCAGAACAACACAGCACCGTGTTCCGTCTAGATTAAATGCGTGGAGTCCAAGGACCGGGCTCCCTAAGGCTACGTAAGGACCACCAGTGTGAATTTCAAGTCTTCTTACTGCAAAAAAACTGAAAGAATCAATTTTCTTCACTCTGTCTCGTTTTCCCCACGCAGCGTCTCGTTTTGCCACTCAGGTTGGGGCTAAATAATACATCTGGAGCACTTTTCATTTATTTTTAAAATAATGGTTTAAACTGCGGCAACATGGCAATACTTATGTAGCACATACCTAGTTTCCAAAAAAAAAAGTTTCTGCATTGATGTTTAATTGTAAAGGGTGAAATAAAAATAACTATGCACTATTTTGAAAATTTTGACGCATTTTACCGCACTGTATACCCAATCGCACACATTTTCACATTGCCT